CATCATCATTGCCGTCATCATCGTCATCGTCATCATCATCATCATCACCACCACCACCGTCACCATCAATATCATCACTGTCATCATCACCACCATCGTCATCATCCACTTAGACCCTGTATCATCATCACCATCATTATCATCATCATCACCACCACCACCACCACCGTCACCATCCATATCATCACTGTCATCATCATCATCATCATCATCATCATCATCCACTTATCATCCACTTAGACCCTGTATCATCATATCATCCAATTAGACCCTATAACATCATCATCATTATCATCATCCACTTAGACCCTGTATCATCATCATATCATCACTTAGACCCATATCATCATCATCATCACTTAGACCCTGTATCATCATCATATCATCCACTTAGACCCTGTATCATCATCATATCATCCACTTAGACCCTGTATCATCATCATATCATCCACTTAGACCCTGTATCATCATCATATCATCCACTTAGACCCTGTATCATCATCATATCATCCACTTAGACCCTGTAACATCATCATCATCATTCACTTAGACCCTGTACACTGCACAAAAGAAAGAAACAGAGAGTCAATGCTATTACTTTAAGTCACAAGTCTCTAATCTTCCTCAGATGATTTCAGGTGCATACATATTTGCAACTCTGTTACAGCTACATCTGCAACGAGAATCCAAATGTGAAAGCTCAGATTCCGATTACATTACTTCATACCTAGCTTCTACTTAGACTGAGTAAATAATACCGAAACATGATATTTATTACCTCTACAGAAGAATATATTGAGTGCTAAGCATCACATCAACACAGCTAAGCTATAATTGTTAAAAATAGATTCATCAGAATATATAGACGTTATTGCAGTGCAAGTATCAAGGCAGCCAGCATCCAGTGCACGCCAGAATCGCTTAGCGTTGCATGTAGTACATTTGTACTATCATCAGTAGGGGCGGTGGGGTAGTCTAGTGGTTAAAGCGTTTGCTCCTCATGCCAAAGGCCCAGGTTCGATTCCCCACCAGGTACAATGTGTGCAACCAATTTCTGGTGTCCCATGCCTAATAATGCTGGAATATTGCTAAAAAACTAAACCAAACAAACTCACTAACTCATCAGTAGGAGGTATGTTAACATATTAACACTGAATGGAGTTAAAAGAATCAGAATGTTTGTATGCAATATATTTCGACACAGTAACTATATACAGCAACATATTACAATCTAAAGTGTTTGGCAGTGTCTGGTTGTATATACAGCCCTATATTCTACATACTGAAATACACAGATGGTCAGGATCGCCATTTTGTTGTCATGGAAACATTGGAAACAACATCAGATAAATATCAGAGAATTTTATCCGTCAATTTCAAAAGGAAACATAACTTGGGAATCAATTTCTGGATTTTTAAAATATATTTTGATATAAATGCACAAGAAAGAATTTCCACTTTTAACACCTTTTGACCCGATATACTGCAGCCTACACCCTCACTCAGACACAGTAAACCAACTGAGCCAACCGGCAAGTTATATAACCTGAGCACAAGGCAAGGTAACAACAAGTACCACTTTTTAACATCTCTCAACCTCATATGATCCTGGGTCTAACCAAGGACCTTCCGCTCTCCAGAGGCCCCGATAAGCTGCGTATCCGGGTAAAATATGCAGAGAAAATTTCCAATTACGCATTGAAAAATAATTATTGCGTACCAATTACGCATTGAAAATGTTAGATACATGCAAAAAGTTTAAAACAAATGCGTACGTAATATATTTATAAAAATCACTTGCGTAATGAAAAAGACATTGATTGGAATCAAGTTGTACTGTTAGTATAGGACTAGTGTTGTACAGTCAGTATAGGATGAGTGATTTTTTATGAAATCATTTCCATTATATTTAAGTTGGTTTTGATTAGGTATGACATAAGGCAGAACATACCTGCTTAGTAAACTTACTCAATATACTTAGGTGAGTAAAATGACTGAAATACACACATATTTGAAAGCTGTGGGTAACGGAAAATGAAATACCCACTCAACATTCATAATACCCACTCCAAAAAAATACAGTGGGTACAGTACCCACATGAGCTAAATCTTATCTGGAGCTCTGGTTTCTGGACTCAACCTCTGGTTGAGAAGCTAACACTGTCCATAGAGGCCATCTTGCTGTAATTACTGTTGCAACATCAATAGACAAGCCAATCATTATTTCACACATACTTTCATGGATGTTTCAGTAACCATAGAAACATAAGTATTATCACATATATTATCCTGAACCAAACTAAACTGTTAACCTCTTTATCATATAATGTCAGTCCTAAAGTCTGTCATGAAGTCTTCCTGGAATATGTGAAGTGATAAATATTTAGGAGTCACCATGACTCCCTGGTGTCATGAGAGGGAGTCATGGACATGTCTTTGGGAGTCAACTTCAGTTTTGAACTTTCAACAAGACATCAACTGTGATTGTTTGATATGACAAAAAACAAGGCAGGTCAGGTATTTAATCAGCACTGAGCAGTTAACTGGCAAACATTTAGTTTGAGAGCTTTAGATTATCTGAACTAAGGGCCCAGTAGCATTGCATCAACAATGACACAAGCTTCTAAATTTACTGCGTATCGGATATATTTTGTGCGTCAAATACGCAGGTTTTCTGCGTCATGGCAAACCCCGAACTGATATATGACATCAGAAGCTCAATCATTAGTCAGCCTCACAACAGGTTAAACAATTCCATGCAACATGTTTCTGAGACAGATGCTTTACAACTAGGGCTGTAACGATGCAACGAACTATCGATGGTTGCAATTGTTGAGTCTCCGATAACAATTAGTCGATAGTAGAAACGAAAAACTATCGATTCATCAATAGTATGTGTGACTATCGATAGTTTAGTAATTGACTTCCGTTGTAAATGTGCAGCGCAAAATACAGGATGTTTGGGCGCAGACTTGCAGCTTCACTGAGTTTATGTTTTAAATGTTTACTTGATCTGGGTTTCAAGTTTCTTGTCAGTTATTAAACGAGACTGAAACTACTTTAACTTGTTTTCATTTCATATAAACTATACATTCATTTGGGAAATGACTTCAAATGAGACAATTCAAGGAGAGAAAAACTATTGCAATAGTTGGTCGCAATAGTTGGTTGCTATCGCAGTAGTATGTTGCAGTAGACTATCGTTATCGCAATAGTTGTTTCCCCCTCAATAGTCAGCCCTATTTACAACCACATAGGAAATATCTAGAATTGATAAAAGACACAGAACATATTATTTTTTTTAAAAAGTCAGCGAATGTCTCTCGAAACAGTCCACAGGACTCCCCACTGGAGTAAGGCCCTGTACTCAAGCAGACTTCTTGTGTTCAGTTCATTTTGATGAAGATCACATTTATCACAACACCTCATCTAAATCCCACTGGTCAGTTCTTACACAATTACTGACAGATGAGATCAACGCCATATTTGGATGTAAACACTGAATGTAGTACTACTGACTAGTGTTGGGAATTGGTTAAAATCTCAAAATTGATGATTGGTTTATTACAACCGATCAATCATCGAAATAAATTGGTTAGCATCATTAATGAAATTTGTTAATGCACATAAAAATAAGGAAAAAACATGTAGTTCTTTTGGGGTTTTTGGCAAAATTTCACATCTTTAAAGGATGACTAGTATGTCGGGAACATAAATTTCTTGGAGTCTTTAAGATAAATTTAATCATGACTTGAAACAAGCTTGTAGTGCTTATGAAATGTAACAGACAAAACCAACCTTGTGAAAAATATTGTTTATGAAAACAAGTGTTCCAGAATTGTTTGTATTCGATTATGAGAAAACATGATCAATTGCTTGGTCGTTTAGTCACTGTGACCAATCTTCGATTATTTCAATTAATCGGACCACCACTACTACTGACAAGACCTTTCATATACTGGACAACATTAGAAACGAACCACCCACATAATACGAAATAACCCCGTCAGACTGAAATGTAGCCAAGATATCTGAGCATCGTCGGTGCATTTTAGTGTGGTGCGTTTTGGATGTTGTTCAGTATACTTGCATAATTATTGAATCCACCTGAGAAACCTACATCTTATGTGATAAACTGTGATATTACCGATATGTCATTACAATTCCTTCCACACAATCACCGCAGTCAAATCCCACTGAACAGTCAGAACACATGGGTAAGGAAGGGACAAAACTCAATCTTACGCTACTGAACTTTCCATAGGGGTGCCAAGATATTTCAAACTGGACAACAGGCTTTTGAGATATGCATCACTGACACAGCAACATACACATTGGGAGGACATCTTCAAGCAATAAGTCACATAGAGTCCCAATCTAGACACTCCTAACATGCCCATCAACAACTCACAGATTATCAGAATCCAAATAACTGACCTTCTATGCGCAAGTGACTGATTAAATTGGCAAAGCTTAAATCCAACATTAAAAGACTGATATATACAACCTTTTCAAAGAAGTTTTAAAATAAAGTTTTTGTAGCCTTTTCCCTATGTGTAAGTCAACTCTTCTCAAGCAGATAAATATGAGCATATACGCTTTACAGGAACTCGCTACACCACAAGTGAAGTCACCTGTAACACCTGCAAACAGATACCACAAGAATCTCTGTACATGTGAGAGATGACAGAAGTCCCTAGCAGGGGATAATAACATCAATTGTTTAACTGTCTCAAATCAATACCTCCCATAGAGTCATTCACTGACCAAGTCCAAAGTCATAAGATTTGGTAACTGAATGTCCTAGGTGTGGTCAATTCTGGACGCTAGGAGCAGGTGCTTCACCATTGAGTCTACTGTTATCAACAGTCCAGTACTGCCTGTCCTCTTTCCAAGGGGATTACATTAATACATGCCAGGATTCACTCTGATATAATGCATTACTTCAGGGCTGGCATGCTATGGAAACGGCAACATCTATAAAGGGAGATAACTCTTACCTCTTCTGCCCATATTTGTAAAGCTGTTAATTTCCATGGCTATTTCATGGGAGCCAATTGTGTCTGGAACAACACAAACAAACGCAATAATATAACACCAAGTAACCATGGCAACATCGTCAAATACAAAACGGAATCAACGTAAGAAAATACATTCTGTGAAGGCGTCCAACGTCAGCAGATACGTATGATGTTGCAAAGGGTAACAGTTTGGACTTTTCCAATTATCATCTGGGAATGAAATAGGTTGATGGTCCATCTGAGTGAAGAGTTTCAGTTCTGCATTTAGCAACAGTACAGCAGTCTAACAGCAAGGGACACCAGAAATGGGCTACACCTATTGTACCCATGAGGAATCGAACTCAGCCCTTTAGCACGGAGAGATAATACCTACTGTCCCTTTTCTGATTCATCTTTCAGGCAGCGTAGTGAACTGTTGTTGCAAAAATCACACTAACGCAAACTTTACAAATTGTTTAAAATAACAGCAGACAATACATGTGCCTTAAAATAGAACAAGATAACTGCATAACCTCATTGGCAAGATTTGTCTCTTGCAACATCTTGCTAATTTCTTATCAGAATTGTTTTCACAAAGTGATCGACTGACTGACTGACTGAGTTTAGTTTTACTCCGCTTTTAGCAATATTCCAGCAATATCACGGCAGGGGACACCAGAAATGGGCTTAACACATTGTGCCCATGTGGGGAATCAACCCCGGGTCTTCGGGGTGACGAGCCAACGCTTTAACCACTAGGCTACCCCACCGCCCCACAAAGTGACCGAGTACATCACAGTTGAAGTATGGACACATTGGTCATCTTCCAGCAAAGATGGCTCCAGCTGGGTCCAGAGCTATTTCCATCTAATTTTACAGTATTAAACAGATCAACATAAGCCATATTTTATTCCATCTCGTATCTTTTAAGGACGGATGCAATTCTGATATGATTCTCTTCTGCAGACAATGATAAGCTTCCGTACTTGTCTCCTGACTTTCTAAACCGAGAGCAAAAAGGGAACTAACATGTTAGAGACCCAGACATTTGAACTAAAGTGTTCGACTTCCTTCCAATGGAAACAGCAAAGTGAAAGTGTGTTAAGTGTTGAAATACTTGTAAGCTTTCCACCATCAACAAGCATCTTATATCAAAGTAAGCCAAGATACTTAGGACCAGAGTATTGTTTGCTAGCCAACATGATTTTGCAACACAAAACCTGACTGAAGTACTTGTTCATATGAGAATGGAGGAGTTTGTCCCGTCCATCACCTACAAACTAAATTGAGGCTCCAAAAAGGAATCGGCAAGGTCAATAGTTCTAAAAAATAAAGAAAAAAAATAGAAAAAAAATCAAATTTAAAAAAAATAAATTCTCAAAGTGTATACAGTTAAAAGAAAAAATAAAGGATAACAATTCTTAACATTTTTTTTAAAGTTATAAATGTAGTAAAACAAATTATATAATTTTGAAAAGAACGTCATAAAGGTTTTTCAAAACATTCTGGTCGGCACATAAAATCAACAAATGTTGTTTTTTAGATTTACATTTCAATATTTTGGAGTCATCAGATTCATAAACCAAGGATAAACCAAGGTCTGGTCTTGTTCACCCAAACTATGACATTATAATAATGCTGAAGGCCGCCTAAAGATCTGTCAGTCACTGTTGAGTGATTTATGGAGCTGATAAAAATAGGTGAATGAACTAACATAATTCAAGAAACTGCAACCGATCATGGGAGAAAAATGGTAAAAAGACCATACAAACTTGACATACCATTAATGACATAATACTTGTTTGGTTGTAGAGTAACTAAATGGCACTAAAACCACCAGCATTGAACTAAAAGCTCTGAGGCTCATCTGACTTATGAATAGTTACCTCATCTTTTGGGATAAACACTACACTGACTAATGGAGATAGAGGAATATAAAGAAACTAATGTTTGTAACCACATTTAAGACAAAAAAGTTGAGTGCAAATAATGATGTAACAAGTTTGAATCTTTGTAAAGCCATTACACTCAACTAAAGTTTAAAGCCAGTTGACTGGTTTGTTTGTTGTTTAACGCCACACTCAGCAATATTTCAGCTTTATGGCTTTAAAGTGAGTGAGTAAGTGTGTTTGGTTTTACGCCGCTTTTAGCAATATTCCAGCAATATCAAGGACGGGGACACCAGAAATGGGCTTAACACATTGTACCCTTATGGCTTTAAAGCCAGTGTTGTGTGGTGCCTGATAATATCATTTTTCAACTTTCTGAGACATATGATTTTTTAACTATTTTAAAACAAAAATTTAAAAGACAGTTTGCAACAGTTAAGCAGTTAAGGTTGTTTGCATGGGCGGATACAGCTTTTTGAGAGAGAGAGAGAGAGAGGGGGGTGTTAAACATACACTATTGAGAAGGGAGGATGTTTGCACACTTCATTTTCACGAGAGTTTCAATGGTCATTTATTAAACTTTCAGGACAAAAGAGGGGGATGTCTGTGCGCACCCCTGCACCCCCCTCTTGATCCGCCTATGGTTTGTTTGGCTTGTACTTAATAGTCTGGACTAGACAATCCAGTGATTGATGTTGTCAACATCTTCTGATAACCTAAACTCTCACCCAGAATCGCGTTGTGGTATGTCCTATAGAACATACCTCCATCAGACATACATTTCATACACATTCTAACCTTCCTGTCACACCTGATATTATTTATTTAAAATTATTTATTTAAAATTTTGAAGACCATTAAATTAGACTAACAGGAAAAGGTGGTATATGATAAAAGTAAACAAGTTTTATGATACAAATAACTCTTGTTAACGAGTGCACATAAATTAACAGTTAGAGTAAGTATACCATCCAACAGCACAATTACTTTAAGCCTATGAACTTTAAAGTAATCCCATTTAAGAAGGTGCACCTTGACATGAACACGTGCCCTTACATAATCCTCACACAATAACAAGTACACTGAGATATAATTGGTTTGCAGGGCGGATATTTGCAGGTAAGACAAACTCATTACCACAGTGGTTGAGCCTGTGTATTCCTTGGCGATCTCTCTCACTCACTACCTCATACATCCATGTACAGTGGTCAGTCGACACATAAACAAGATATAAATGTCTGGCCTTACTGCCATTAACCTTGACAGAAGAATAACCCTATGAGCAGCATAAAGTTGGTATTCAAGTCAGACGAAGGGGCAAGGAATAGCCCAGAAACGTTGAGTATACAATAAAGAAGAAGTTGACATCCATAACATTTTGTCTTAAACTATCAGTCAGTCACTCATGTGTGATATATTGAGCTGGTGAATAAACTAACATACATGGCTACAGTGGGGCCCTGTCTACTATTTGCTCCTCATACACAATTTGTGATTTGTGTTACCCCCATATTCCTGTGCCCTACCCCCATACCATCTTACATATCTTATCCCACCCCCCAATATTTCTCTGCCCCTTGTCCCACCCCCAATATTTCTCTGCCCCTGTGTCCCACCACCAACATTTCCATGTTACCCCTTGTCCCACCCCCAAATATTTCTCTCTCCCCCTTGTCCCACCCCAAATATTTCTCTGCCCCTTTGTCCCACCACCAACATTTCCATGCCCCCTTGTCCCACCCCAAACATTTCTCTGCCCCTTGTCCCACCCCCAAATATTTCTCTGCCCCTTCCCCTTACCATCTCACATATGTGACTTCAGCAGCCTAGCACAACTATCTCAATGTTGACAGTGCAATCAGTTAATACTTCAAAACATCTGAATCCATTGACCTTGAGATGAAAAGGAGAAATAAAAGGAAGGATGAGAGATTGAAGGAAGGAAGGAGAGAAGGAAGGAAAGAAGAGAGAAGGAAGCAAGAAAGACGGAAAAGAAAAGAGAACAGAAGTCAAAACTGAAGTAAAAGGAAATAAGAGCAGGAAGAAAAGAAGAAGAAGAAAAGCAGAAGAAAAAGAATAAAGAGAAAAAAATGAAAAACGGATGAAGAAAGAAAAGAAAGAAGGAAAAGAAAGAGAAACACTTTATACAGCACTTAGTGTTCTCTTCAAGTGATATCAAAGCAGGTGACACTGATAACTGGCTTCACACATTCCACCCACTTTGGGAATCAAACTCCAGTCTTTCGTTCGATTACCAACACCTTGGCTACTGTGATAACCCATGACACCATTAAGTCACAGACCAAAGTCAATGCGGAAAAACATGCTGTTTCAAAACACATATATAACAACTTCCTATTTCAATAACAATACGTATTTTCATCCCACAGTCCTTTCAGAGATCAGTCCGTTTCCGATAAATGTCACGGATATCTTCGGCAAGCAGATTAATGGAATTGTCACGCCCCCGCCCCCAGAATCTACATCGTGATTCATCACCTCTTGACAAATTATTGATGAGCTGTTGGGAACACAATGCAGACCTATGACAAAACAGTTGGCAGTTTGTTGCTCTGCGAGTAATCTTCCTCAAATGAGTTAACCGAATCACAATACTCCTGAGTGTTCAACATATCGTTGTTCCTGTACCAGAAGTCCAATACTCTTCCTCATCTCCAGGCTTCATTTCCATGGACTTTATTGTTAACATACAGGCTATTATTAGCCAAGCTTAATACACCAAGCTTATTAGACACGAGTTTTCACTAGTTGTCGAGTGCTCCTTCAGTTTTCATTTGGTTTAAACCTATTTTATTCACCAATCTGAAAAGGATTGGGGACAAGTTATCCAACTAAAAACACCCATTCTCTGATATTTACATACTGTATTTTAATGTCATACATCTTATGAAGGAATAAAGAGAAAGTATAGAAAAGATAAAGAGAGAACCAATAGGTGAGTGAGTGAGTGAGTTTAGTTTTACGCCGCACTCAGCAATATGCCAGCTATATGGCGGCGGTCTGTAAATAATCGAGTCTGTACCACACAATCCAGTGATCAACAGCATGAGCATCGATATGCGCAATTGGGAACCGATGACATGGGTCAACCAAGTCAGCGAGCCTGACCACCCGATCCCGTTAGTCGCCTCTTACGACAAGCATAGTCGGCCT